CAAAATGATTGTTTGAAATGAGCATTTTCAACATATGACATATCTAATTTTTTTGATAAAATTTGCATTTACTGGGGGAACTGGTGTGTATAAAACCGTAATTGGGTAAACACTTCAATTTTCATTGTGGTGCCTATGGGTATGTAATATAACTGCAGTATCCCTTTGGGGAAGGAGATAAGGGAAGCTCATTATGTCAAGTCCAAGTTAAATCATAATTTTACTTCTCTTTACCTACACAAGTTTGAACTCGACTTTTTTTTTTGGGGGGGGGGGGTGATTCAATAGAGGATGCTTCACCACTGAACACTCACTGTCATCAAGGTGCTTTAGAAAATTAAAAACATAGCACAAATGATTGTACTCTACTCTACAGGTTATCATGATCTGCATAAGAAATGGAAAGCTGATCCACATGTTTTTACAGTGATCAGCAATAAGAAATGCACTAATGAAAACATACCTTTTACCTAAAAAGCTAAACTACAGCCATATACTATTTTCTATGATTTATGAAAAACTTCAAAATATCCAAATGTCAGGCTTCACTGTACAGTTGTCAGTTTTAGTCTGACTTTTATAAAGGGACACTGCAGTATTTAGTACAAGTTGCTGATGCACTTTTTTGAACATCTGATGTCTTACAAAAGTAACATCTCGCTAAACTATTATACATCCAAATAACTACAATATCTGAAGAAGCAAGGCTGCTTTTTCAGCCACAAAATACGACAAAAGCAAGGCCTGTTATGATGGTCATGAGGAAATCTTACAAAGCCTCTGAAACTAAAGGCAACTAAGAATGTTACATTTGGTATATTATCTTACCCTCATATCACATTAAACAAGCCTTGCTTTTATCTACAAAGATTTTCTATGTACAGTACAGACAGGGTATAGTTCAATCCTCTGCTACTGAGGTAGTTAACCAACCCTTTAAAAAAGGTTCTGAAAAGAACCACTATCTGGAATGCCTGACTAACCAGCTCTGATGATTACACCTGAAACTGCTGTATCTGAACACAATCCAAAAGTGATTACTATATAGACAATCATGATTAACCTTCATGAGCAGAAATAAAATTTAAGGATACCAATGATGGCATTCATCTCTACCACTGCAATAAAAATGTCAATGCACAAATTCAAGAGAATACCACTTTTGGAATCCTTATAATTAAGAAAATCTGGGGGGGAAATCTACTTAAAGCAGATTTTTTTTTAAAGAAGAACTTTATTCTTTATGAAGATATCATGCTAAAAGTTAAGGAGTTTTTTGAACACATTGGGATAATAGAGTAGCTTTAGTTTAATAATTTGCACTGCAGAGAAAACTGTTAAAGAAATTCATATCAAAGTCCAAGTATTAGTTCAAAATGTCCCATATTTGAATCCATGATCTTCGCAGGAAGGTCTTCTGCAATAGAATATGCTCCTATACAGCCGAGATACTTAAGGTTGCTTGATTTCCTTACCATTACTCCA